AGGTGAGCTGTTTGTTCAGTCACTTTTATTTGGAGACGTTAATCATTTACAGTTTGGACTTCATTTAGAAACAAAGCAGAAAGACCAGTGCAGATAGAGTTACTTTTTCCAACTGTTCATGTCCTGACTGCAAAGTGAAATGTTTTATATAGAAATTGTTAACAGGACAGGGAAAAAGACCAGCATGCAACACACTGCTGATTTCTTTATCATGAACTTTCTCTTCATGCTGATTTTTTCCACATTTTGTTCATCATAAGTCTGATTTTACAGGTGCTTTGGCTGATTGCCCTCAGAGGTCAAACCTCTTCATTACTGCACCAAAGAAGATGGAAGCACTGAGTGGATCTTGTTTGCAAATCCCATGTAACTTTAGAGCTGAACCAGAACAAGATTTTAACAGCAGCAGAGAAACCTTTGGAGTTTGGATTAAAACTGACTCAAATATTTGGGATTTTACAAAAAATGTGATTTTCAACAGTAGTAAGACAGTTAACACGTATCCAATGAATATTACTGGAAACCTGAGTCAGAAAAACTGCACCACTCTGTTTTCCAGTTTAATCACAAATTATACGGACAAATACTACTTCAGAATCATGAGACTATGCCTTTCAGAGCAACAGCTGTTTGTGATCCTCTTCAAATAACAGTTAAAGGTAAGAGAGCTTTGTTTCTTTCAGTCAGTCTATAATGTTATTGTTTAGAATAAAAAGTGAAATCAGTTACAGTTTTGGCCTAAACAGCACACTTTATCAATTTGGAGGTTTTTCACTTTACCATGAATTTAAATTCTGATTAAACACTGAGTCTATTGTTACAGTTTGACATTAAAATGATCAAATGTTGGGACACTGAAAAGCAGAACAAACTGTTATTTATACTTTATGCGGTTTCAGTACAGAAGTATCAGCTTCATCTGTTTGATTTAAACCTTTAGATTCTCCTCCGAGCCCCAGAATTGAGATCTCAGGTGATCTGAAGGAGAAGCAGTCTGTCACTATAACCTGCTCAGCTTTCACTCCCTGTCCACACTCCCCTCCTAAACTCACCTGGAATCTCCAACAAGACTCTCACAACCAAATAGAGGAAAACACAGATGGAACCTTCACAACTAAAATCCAGGAGAGCATCACTCTGTCAGACCAACATGATGGATACAACATCACCTGTTCTGTCAGATATCCTGTGAATGAAGGAAAAGATAACAAGACAGCAGAGGAGAGAAAGACTCTCAGTGTTTCATGTAAGACAACCAGAGTTTGTTATTGGATCCTGTCAGCACATGATGATTCATGGGATATCAGCTGATTTTTAATGAATAAAGTTAATCTCACATTTTCCTCAGATGCTCCTAAAGACACCTCAGTGTCCATCAGTCCATCAGGTTTGGTGTCAGCAGGTAGCTGGGTGAACCTGACCTGCTCCAGCAGAGCCAAGCCTCCCGTCAGCCGCTTCACCTGGTTCAAGAACAGCAAAGATGGACCCATGATTGTATCTGAAGGACCGTTTTACAGCTTCAATGTGACAGATGGAGGAGATTATTACTGTGTGGCTACAAATGATCTTGGTAATCAGTCGTCATCATGGATTCATTTAAACAGTGCAGGTAAATGTCAAACTGAATCTTATTATATAACTAGAAAATTCCTAAAGAAATTTTGATTGTGCCTTGCTCTGGCCCATATGTTACTACCATGTCTTGCTCTCTAGCACGCTAGCGTTAGCATATTAATGCCATGTAATCCTCCCTATAGCATATTGATAACCTGTCATCCTCCTTAGCTAGCTAGCTAGAGCTAGCACACATAAACACATTAACTAATCGCTAGCTTTGGTTAAGGTGTTTATGTGTGTTATTCTCCTGAAGGAGTGCTAGCGCTAGCTTATTAATGCCTTGTCAGCCTCTGTAGCTAGCTATGTGTGTGTGTGTGTGTGTGTGTGTGTGTGTGTGTGTGTGTGAGAGGCAGGCTTTGGTTGTCATGGCAATCAGGAGAGGCCACAGCAGCTGCGCACTCTCTCTGTCTCTAACTCCTCAGAGAGACAGAAACATTTAAAATGAATCCCCTCCAACCCATGGCCAGGAACGACCGAAATGAAAACCGAAAAGACCGTGAGCGTCGTCATCTTGTTGACTATAGCACTGCCGTGTTTCAGTGGCTAAAGTTAAAAAATGTGACCTGGGGAGATTGAGAGAGAAGAGGTTCAACAAGCTCCTTTCAAAATTCCTCCTCTGCATTTAACATGGTAGTAGATGGGGCCGTGAGAGGGTGTTGCTGGCGCATCAGTGCATCTCCCGCCAAAACAATTTGTCTGACAGCTTCGGCAGTGGTATCACTGCGACCCCAAAGAATTTACCTACGTTTCTATCTACAAATTATTTCTGTAGAGTGATATTTGTGGCCTTGAGAGCAGTTTACAAATTTATTTTCCCACAAATTTTTCTCTCTCCCCACACTCTAGCGGTGATGTCACGCACTCTGGCAGTTGAAGATTCTCGCAATACACACCCATTCATTTTTTGGACCGGTTTTTGGCGATTTATCGGTAAACTGTTTAGCACTAATGTCCTCACCGAGCCACACGTTTTGATACCTTTTTTGTGTATGTGCGACCAAAACTGCGGGAGGAGTAGCGCGCCCGAAAAAAGGTACGGAAGAATAATAATTTTATTAAGCCCGAGGAATAATAGTATTGTGCTTTTCAAGGCACAATAATTACTTTCTTCTTTTCTGTTTGTCTTCTTTCTTGCAGCTGTATTGTAGTTTCTTGGTTTTAGTACCTCGCACTTTTTCTGCATATGTATGAATTTATTCTATATAATTAAACTTGACCTAGATGTTAAAAGAGAGACTTCAATGATGGTTACATCAGTATTTTTACAACATTCAACCTTTGTTTCCTTTCAGTCTCCTCTCTAAAATGGGGTTTAGCTGTTGGAGGGATCATTGTTGTCATTCTCATCTGCACTGCTCTCTGTGTTTGGTAAGTATCACAAATTAAAGGATGTGACACAATAAACTCTCTGGCACTGAACTTTTAACTAAACGTACGTTCATGGTGAGAGCATGGATGAGGATGTGATCTGTCAGTTTTGTTTATTTCTGTACCAACAGATTCCTCACATTTACAGTTTTGTACTGATTAAAGTGGTTGACTCTGAAACTCTCAAAAGAGAACAAAAGTTGTTGTTCAGACCACCTGTTCTGTGATTTACTGTCCTCCTTTAGTTTCATCACCAATCTCTACCAATTGTATTTTAATCTGTATGTTTTTATGCATCCATTAATGCTTTTTCCCATCAGTCCTAACTTCTATCATCTATTTAACCTGAAACACAGTATAATTATTCTGACAGCTCTCTAATGTCTTCCAGGTGGTTTAAGTGGAAACATCAAACTCCACAACAGACTCAGGTGGGAAAATACTAACCTTCATTGTACTGAACTGTTTGTTTGAAGTATTTTACAGTGACTCTGTCTGATATATATGAAAGCATCAGTCTCAACAATCAGTAGACAGTGTTTGAGAGGTACGGAGCCCCTAAAGTCCCCAAAAGAAAATATTTTTTATCTTGTGCACACAAGATAATTTACTATAAATTCATATTCATCTCTAATGGCTTCAGATGCACACAGCTGTCATATAATGGAGAGAACTCAGCTTATCAAGTTTTATTTTCACCTCGAAATGTCATACCATGAAATTCTTGCTGCTCTTGCTAAAATCTGAATGTCGGACAGATTCTGTTTAGAGGGGCATGGACACGTTGGTAAAACGGGCGATCTAACCAAACAATGTGTTTGCTTACACTATGGGAGTGGCTTTATGTGGAGGAGGGGTAGCTACAAGACCATAGTGGCTCTAGTGGGCACAACAAATTTCACACGCACTAACTGACATGTAAGGCAGTAACAGTCAGGGGATGGGCTCTTTAAAGTTTACACAGGCTGGAGCACGTGTTAGTAACAGCTAGGGAGGTAACTTTAATTTTTCACAGGGCTGATAGCACGCTGTGGCTCTATCTCAAGTTCTGCTTCTTACTTAGGCTGAAATACATAGCTGAATCAGTCAGGTACAAGATATATGTGTCACAGGGCCGGTGGCACGCTGTGTCTTAATTAAAAGGAGGAGCACTTTAATTTACAGCAAATGAAGACAGTTTGAATAGCTTGCATTGAATATGTCTGATTCGAATGCTGAACCAAATTCTTGTTTTTCATACAGTGTAGGTTTAGCTTGGAATAGCTAGCAACAATAGTAAACTCAAAATGAATATTCTCAAATTCCTTAATTTGATGAATAAATAAATTTCACCACAAAGTACTTGTTTATAAGTACAGCTTGATGTCTACTGCGGTGTCAGACTAGTGGAACTAGCCAAAATTTGCATATTGGCCAAAAGTACATAAAACATTAATATTGTGGGCGTGCCAGGAGTTTTATCACCTGGACATCGTGCATCATCAAGTTGTCTCAGGTTACAGTCCCAGAAAGTGACTGAATGAGGTGACAGGAAGTGACCCGTCACAATAAATATCCAGTTAAACCACACCAAATGAACAAGTTCATGTTTAAATGTCCCCTTTGACCCAACAGGAACCATAGTCATTTGGATCTGGTTGTCATCTACTTTGTTTGAATAATAGAGACACAAGAATTGGAATTGGAAGAAAAGACCTGAACATAGTGAGGATTGTTCCAAAGAATCCTATCCATTTTATACTCAACAATATTTAAGGTTGCACTGTAATCCAGCAGCATCAGAACAAATGTTTAACCTGAGTCAGGATTCAGATTGATGTTTTCAGATGTTTGTGTGCCAAAGTGAAATTTAGATTGATCTGTGATGATTTAATCTGGAAGGATCCAGCTCACAACATTTCTTATTTGATTCATTTTTCAGAGTCAAAGAGGTGAAGAGCTTTCTCTTCAAATGCCAGTCAGCACAAGTGAAGAAAACATCCATTATGGAGAGATTGACTTTTCGAAGAGGAGACCTGAACCGTCCTCTGACTCAGTGCAGGACAGTGGACAGCAGCAGGATTCGCTGTATGCACAGGTCAAAGTGTCTGAGCCATCAAACAGATTAACTCACACTGCTGATGGTCCAGAGGATCTCTACGCTCAAGTTAAGAAATAATAAATGAGTACTGTTTTGTGATCACACTTGGGTTGGTTTCATAATCTACCTTTATTTTGTAATTTTACCACATGTTTTATGTCACTTAATGAAGAAAGTAAGTGGAGACTAGACAGGAAAATGTTTACTGCTCACAGTTAAATAAAAGGAAACTCCACACACTGCAGCTCAGATGGTTTTCTCAGTAATCACATTATCATAGTTCAGATTTATGTACTGACCTCATACAGCTGTTACTGTGTGGTTAGTAATCTGCTTGTGAGATATGTGCAAGTAAAAGTCTCAAAGCTCTGAATAGGAACTAATCTTAATGACATGAGAATGAATTATAGTGAACTTGACACCAGAAGCAGTTCTGTACACACATTACCAGTGTAGTCCAAGATCATATCTACTTTTGAAATGTTAATGTTTATTTTACATTTTATTTTTAATAAGGCATATTGATCTCATTTGCTTTATCTATTGTGTATCCCATTTTCTTACATATTTACTATATTACTTCTAAAATGAACATGAGACAGAGTTTCTGCATTTGAAGATATTTATTCATTGCACTGTAATAAAAACGTTGGCATACAACTTCTAAAAATACCTAATAATCTCACTCGCATTTATTGGTCCAACATTTCACATATTGTGTGTAAACATCACCTGAAATCATACAATTTAATCACAAACATAACGAAAGTGACGAGATGAACTAGCATAGTAATTCTCGGGTCCACTGGAAATCTGCTACAATGTTTTGAGTATTTATTGTACATCTGATTAATCTATTTTCTAATATCAAGTTCAGTTTAACATGAAGGGCATTTCTTCAGACTCAGTCAATAATGTATTAAAAGAGCTGCTAAAATTCACTTAAAACCTTTCTATGAGTAAAAACGTTCAAACTTGATCTACTCTTTGTCAGAATTTTGCCCAAAAAAGATCTTTGGGCTTCAGCTTGTAAACACAGCATCCTAGACACTGTACTGTTAAATATCTCAGAGGCACTACTGGGCCATGTTGATTGTGCTTTAGTACCATGCTAGCTCTTGTGAGTGAATGGAGGTAGTGACAGTATCTACATGACACGTTTGACAACTTCACAGAAATCTAACCTTCATGTTGAGAGTCAAACCTCCCTCCTACCACCAACCCAGCACCAGTCCCTCAGTGTTGCAGCATTAGTGTGAAGTGGTTAAAACCCTACTGACAGGAAGTTCCTCCCTGTTCCTGGAGGAACTTCCTGTCAGTAGGGTTTTAATTGTGCACTCTGTCCTCCAGAGCCTTCAGCTCAGCCTCCACCTGAGCCGGCAGATCAGCTTCAACTTGCTGAGTGAAGTAGGCTCTCAGCTCCTTCGTCTCCTTCTGCCAGAAAGATGTAGGCACATGGAACAGGGCACCCATATCCACCTTGCTGCTCAGACCTTTAGTGTTGATGGCGCCATCTTCTGGCAGCCAGCCGATAATGCTCTTCTTGGCCACATTGTCCTCCATCTCCCCACCGCAGAGCAGAGCCGGGCCAGAGGAAAGCAATGAAGAACTAGGTAAAGTAATAGTATTAGTAAAGGTAATGTCATTATTATCCATTCATCTTAAGGCACCTCATCAATGGGATAACTCTAATATCTGTATTACAAATAATGACACAATACCTAAAACTTAAAGCTTAAAAGTTAGTAAACTACATTGACCTTGAAATTATAAAAAAAGGACAAAAAATATATAATTTCAGGATTGTCAGGATTTAAAGATTTGATTTATAGTAGTTGAAAATTGTTACACAAGAACTTTCTCTGTGCTGCAGGAATGACTTTAATAAAATATGATCTTCTGGCACTGAGTCTCTGTCTGAGCTATGATTAGCAGTGAGTGTACAGTTGCTCCCAGACTGCTCATTTTTTTAACTTTTGTTTCTAACACAGTCTCTCTGGGGCAAATTACACCTGTAAACAATAAGGCTGTCTCCTATGAGCTAGAACAGTGACATTAAATCTGACATTGAAAACAAAACCTGAACTGAAAAGGTAAACATTGCTATTGAAACACTTTTATTGGAAAATGTTGTACTTCCTCTTTTTTGTCTTTTTCCCTCGAGTTTGATTGTTTGTTTCTCTGGTTATTTGGATTTTTGCTTGTTTTTGGACTCTGTCTCCACCTATCTGGATTTGTTTGCTTATGTTTTCTCGACCTCCTGTGTACCAAACCTTCAATTTGGCAAGTAAAGGCTGTGTGTTTCACATCAAGATCCTGTGTCTTCTGTCATGCATTTGGGTCCTACCGCTTGTAGTTCCACCAATCTTAACAGTACGAACTGGCCAGTGATGGACCCAGCAGACAGTTTTGATCAAGAACTCTATGATTTGTCCGGCACTCTACTATGTATGAAAGCTTGTTGAAGGTCAAGATGGTAGCTCTGAATATGGCATGGAAGGAAGTATCCTCTAAGCCTTCGCTCAAGAGTTCACTACCTGAGTGGGCTGAGGATTTTCTGAGCACCCCTGATTCCCAGCCAGCTAGCATCCAGCATGTCCAGGAAGTCTTCCCAGCTGCCCAGCACTCCAGAAACTCAGCCTGTCTCATCTCTTGGTCGCCATCCAGACCTGCTTCACCCTTCGGTCCTGCCTCCTAGTTGTCTGCCAAAGCTGTTCCCCATAGAGTATCAGCATGCCTCGTCCAGAGTTACTCTGCTCTGCGTTCATATGCAAATTCTCTGGGGAATACATTTATTTTTTCATTTGGAAACGGTAGCCTTTTGTTAATTATTTGATGTTATTTATTTCTTATTTTTGACCATATTGTCCTTCCCTATTCTGTGCTCTTAAAAACATGATCCAACCGTCTCTTCCAAAACACTGAACACACACACACATTGGGTAATGGTATGATCAACCCGCACAAACATTAATAAGTCATTTAAAACAATATCAGCAAAGATTCGTGTACTCATCAGTCGAAGGAGAACAATACGTCTGTAAGTTGCAGCGAAGCAGTTGATAACCTTATTGAGGTCCACTTCTTTGGTCCTCCTGGAACTGATGGCCAGCAGAGCCAGATTGCTGGATCAGGCGTCTCGGCTTCTATTCCTTTAACCTGCATAATCTCACAGATGCAGTTGATCTGACAGGCAGGGTCATGGAGTTGCACGCAAGTTTATATAAATCAACAAAAGCATTCTTGTGTTATGGGTGAAAGGGAGGGGGATAATAATTTAATGATGATGATAATAAAAAGGGAAAGGGTTCTTTTTCAACAGAGTTAAAAAAACAATCGGGTGGTAAACAGGACTGTGAGTAGCTAAGGAGATTGCACAGAGAACACATTGGGCAGTGTTATGGGTTTTGGCCGCTCGTGGCGTGTCCACTAGGCCTGTCCTCTTCGGCATACCCAATCTAACGCCGGCGTTTCGACCCACCATCAGGGACACCTGAGGAGCACAAGACTGCAGCCAGTAAACCAACAAGTAATGCTCTTACTCAAACCTCACACACCAGAGTGTTACTCTATCCAAAAGATACTCACTCAGCAAACAGAGCTCTCACTCTGCTGCTTTTGTGTCGCATCGTAACACTCTGGACTTCCATTGGCTGGTGCACTTGCCTCTGGTGAAGGTCTCTCTTCCCCCCAACTCTTTCCCTTCTGTGGTGCTTAGAATCCCTCTGCTCGTGCCTCGTTCTCTCCACTCTGCTTCATCTTGCTCCTGAGTCGTCTGTATCTCATGTGTCTCTCATTTGTTCCTCCAGACAATCCATTTTGGGTCTCTCTCGTTCCTTCTTCTTCCTGCAGTTCCAGGCTGTTTCCTTCTGCTTCTGTCTCTCCCCGTTGTGCCAGGTATGCCTTTCTTATTTCCGCATTCTGCTGCCTTTGTCCCACCCCTGGACCACAGATTGGTCCACCATGGGCCAACTCACATCTGCCATTGGTGGGCCCTGCTGTCTGTAAAATAAGCTAAGAGCTGATCAGGTGTAGGAACCAGTGATTAGTCCAATCCGTCCGAATGTCAGGGAGAAAGTACAACATAACACTCAGTTCCAACTTAAAAGCAAGCTCAAAACCACAATCTCATAAACCAAAAATAAAATCAAGCGTAACCACTACAAAAGAAATGCAATAAAAGGTATAAAATATACAATAAATAACAGTTAAAACACACAGGGCCCTCTCAGAATGTGACAGCTTTCAGACAAAAAATGTCAAATCACTCAATTTACTAACCAATCAGGCGATTACTGGAAAAAACAGTGGTTATGTTAGTCGTCTGATGTTTCCAATCGCTCTCTTGGCCCTGTCTGGCTGCTCACCACGAACTCCTGCAGGTGAAGAGGCTGTGCTTTTCTCCTCACCTGGGGCCGCTGCATTTCTTATTGTTGGCCTCAGTCAGTCCTCAATTTCTCGTCTCCAACTTGTGCAGAACGCCGCTGCCCGATTTTTGACAAGCACGTCCAGACGCGAACACATTACCCCTGTGCTGTCGTCACTCCACTGGCTTCCAGTCCATTTTGGAATTGATTTTAAACTTCTGTTGTTTGTTTTTAACGCCATTAATGGCTTGGCCCCCTCTTACATGTCAGAGATTTTAACTTTTCGCAATTGTGGCAGAGCCCTGCGCTCTTCGGGTCAGCTTCTGTTAGAGGTCCCTAGGTCGAGACTTAAACAGTGGGGCGATCGTTCTTTTGCCGTCGCTGCTCCCAGACTGTGGAACAAACTTCCCCCTGACATTCGCACCACTACTGATCTCAGCCTTTTTAAATCAAAGCTTAAGACCCACTTTTTTAGATTAGCATTCAATTCTGACTAGGGCAGCACTGTCTCTTAGGTGTACTCTTTCTATCTGCTCCTTTCTATGCATTTCTGGAAGGCTTTTAATACCCTGCAGAGGATATAGACAGATCAGTGGCAGATGCCAGTTCCAAATCTGTGGCTTGTTGATGGTCGGACAGGGTTTTCATGAGGCTGAATATGCTTTCCAGCATATAGTGACGTGAAGAACAAACATCAATCAACCACAAAGCAAAACTCTGTGGTACCAACATGTATGAAATAATCTTTGTCTTGGTGATTGAGAATAAGGTGAGTTATTAGGCATGAGGTTGTATTATTATATATCCTCTTCAACTCATAGTTCAATCTTTAATTACCACTAAAGCAGTGTAACATATCTGTGAAATATTAACAGAAACTTTTTGTGTAACAGTATTTAATGTTCTTTCGATGATATATGTGATGAAAGAACTTTATCTGTCTGTGGCTGATAAACCAGAGTGAGAGGACCAAAGAGTAGTGGTGGGATGTTAGTGCTGAGAAAAAGCTGAGAACTATACGTAAAAAGGAGAAGTTGTTTTGCCGCTTCTGTATCATAGTGACTGTAGCCACACAGCTCTCTGCAACAAAATGTCTTCATCATATTGTCCAGAATGGTGTTGTGAAGTGAAAAATAACTGCAACACATAAGTTCACACACATCTTTAAATATTGTTTCTGATGGGCAAAATCTTTCTGTCTGTTTGCATCCATCCATTTTCTGTTATTTATCCAGGGCTGGGCTGCAGTGGCAGCAGGTCTATAGCAGGGTAGTCCAGACGTCCATCTTCCATCCATGAGGCGTTGATAAACCACCAGCTGTACATTACATGTCTATTTTATATCTACCTATCTTCAATTTAATCTTAACTACATGTCTATTGTGATATATGTAATATGTTATAACAGAAGATAAAGCATTCAGGCTTGCAGTCAGTGATGTGGCAAGAAACAACAATTAAGTCATTTTCACCCTAATAAGGTTAAGATGCAACAAAACCTGACTTCCTCACTCACAGGGTGCGAACAGGAAGAGTGAAGGCTTCTTGTATTGCTGCAGTATTTTAGTCGTCCTGGTCCCTTGGGTGCTAGCTGTACTTCCACATACCTCTTGACTGCTTGTACGTCAGGGTCGTTTGTTTGTGCCTCCTCCCACTCACTACTGGCCCATCCTTCACCTCTCCCTTCAGGGGCTGGTACAACGGCTGCTGTGATGGGGTCTGTTCCGCTGCCACGTTCTTCATCTGGTGCATCTCCTGGCTTAGACACCACTGGGAATCTGGACAGTACATCTGCATTCACATTATTTTTACCCAAGCAGTACATAATATCATAGTTAAATGGCTGCTACTGCACCCAGGCAGGCCGTCTGCAAGTGAGCAACAGGGTTATTATCAGTGTACACAGTAAATTGGGCAGCAGTCAGGTAGTCTTTGAATTTGTCTGTCACTGCCCACTTGAGGGCCAGAAGTTCCAATTTGAATGAGCTTTAAAAGCATCATTTTTTTCCAATTGCGTGCAAACATAGGCTTGCATAAGCTATTACACGTTGGCTTCCTTCTTGGACCTGAGCTATTACTGCTCCTAACCCCTGGTTACTGCAGTCTGTATAGACAATGCATAATGAGCATAAGCTAGCACTGGGGCTTTGTCCATGCTGTTTTCAAAGCGTCAAAGGATGTCTGGCATTCAGGAGCTCACTGCACTTTCCTACTTTACGACTTTTTGTCAGCTGGGATTACTGTCAGTAGTCATCAACCCTAACCCCTAACCCTTCAGGGGCAGAGTGATCTTAGCAAAACTTGACACATGGCCCAAGAACTTCACCTTACACTGAAGGAACCTACACTTCAGCCGCAGTCTCACCAATGCCGCCAAAGCCTTTGGAACACCTCATCTAAATGCTGCAGTTGAGAAGAGAAGACAGGTGAGTAAATGATTATGTCATCCAAATATATCAGCAGAGACTCTGCCACCTGACGTGTTCTCACAACACGTCTACTCTGCCTCTCTTCTTCGGCAGACCCAATATAACGCCGGCGTCTCAAACAGCTCTGAACCTGCCTTTGTGTCCCATTGTAACACTCTGGACTTTTCCTGGCCACTGATCTTTTCCCAGGTGAAGATCTCTATTTTTCCTGACGCTTTCCCTTTTGCAGTGCTTCAATCCCCCTGTTCGTGCCTTGTCCTCGCCCTGCATCTCCGTTCCTGTTCCTTCGTTGTCTCTGTCCTGTACTCTGTGTCTCGCTGCTTTGTCCCACCCCTTGGCCGCCGATTGGTCCACCATGGGTCAGCTCTCCCCCTGCCATTGATGAACCATGTTGTATATCAGGTGGCTGGCCAGGTGCAGGTTATTGAGTATGATTGGCACAGTGTCAGGGAGGAAGTAGGCTAAAACAACTCAACTGATTTCAACTTAAAAGCATACATAAAACACTCTCAAAACCAAGCATAAACACAATATAAAAACATGCAATAAAAGGATCAAATAAAACATAAATAACAAAGTTAAAACATGGCAAAAAGTGGAAACCTGTACTTCCAGCCTGTCTAACCCTAGCCTATTTAACTGGAGTGCAGACTGATTGGTAGCTGACGGGGGAAGCTGGTTGGAGGCTGGAGACTAGCAAACTGAGAGTTAGAAGAGTGGTGAAAGCTAAGAGACTTGGACTGAAAACGGGGACCTGTAGCTGAGGCTAACCTGGGACTGAGGTTGATAGCTAGGAATCTGGGACTGAAGCTTGGGCTGAGAGCTTGGAACCTGTGGCTGAGGTTTAGGGACCTTAAGGAAGTCTGTGACCCAAACTGTAATGGAGCACAACTTTTTGGGAGCCAGAGTTCATCTGAAACTATGTCTGCTCGGCCCATGATTGACCTGATCGTTCTGTCACGTTAGATAATGGTGACGTTTAGTAGGTTTTATTCTAAAGGTGAAGATGATGAAGATGGTGATGATGAGGGGAGGGTTGAGGAAATGGCTTACAAATGGTGGCTGGCAGGCAGGCAGGCAGTGGCGTGCACAGACTTTTTGAAGGGCAGGACGGAAAGAAAAA